AGTGTGATGGAACGTCAATTGCGTAAACGTAAGCCCAACCAAATGGAATCGATAATATTTGGAATAGTTACAACCGGAAAATTATGGCGATTTGTCCGTTGGACTGGATCATTGGAAGAACCGACGGTTCATATTTCTAAAGAATACACTTGCAATTTTGAGGGTAATATGGAACCCGAAAAACAAGTGTTGACATATATTGCCCAGATATTACAAGCCCAAGCTAAGGCATTTGATGGTAATTATAAAGACAGTGGCCATCCTTCAAAACGTCAATGTACTGATCAAGAAAGTGATAGATGAAAGAATTTTCTGATATGTATTTTCATTTCTACATGTATTATTTTTTTGCATTGATCGTAAAAAAAAGAATCTGTGCTTTGCCCAGTAATATATGAAAATTATAAAGATTTCATCTAAATTGGAATTTTTTTTTAACCGTATGTATGAGTGGCATTGAAAAATAAAGATGTGTGAGTTATTATATATAGATGTAAAGCATCCTCGATCACGGATGAATAAAATGATTATTGATTTATTGTATATAATGCATTTAAAAGTTTTCAATAAAGCTGAGTCGAATTTCACATATATAACCGTGTTTACTTTTGCGGAATTTTATTATATCTGGATTTAACTCTCAACCATGATTATACAGGGACGAAAAAATAGTTTATCGTTGTATCCATATCGAGTGTGAATCCGCATGCATTGTCACATGTGATCATAATTATTAACAGTTGAGATCTACTCATTAACTGTGCATTGACATATATGAGGATCACTGACCAATCATTTATGCCGTTATCTCAATTCTTTGGGGGAATAAACAATTAATATAGCTTGACTAGTCAAGTTTCGGAGAAATAAGATCCTTCATTATACCTGCGATTTGGATATTGAGTTATATTATAAAGTTGTTAATTATGAGAGTTTAAATATTTCTCGATTAATACACTCTTTAAATTTATATATCTTCTTAGGAATAGTGATTTCTGGATTCTCATCATACCATACCTCAAGAAGATAAATTCCGTTAAGTTGACACAGGGTTCTTTTTTTCCGATCACGATTAACAATATCCTCAAGTTTTTTGACATCTTTATACCAACTAGTGCTATGAAGCCGATGCTGAGCTCCTTGTATTTCTAATGCAATTTGATATTTTTGAAAGAATGCATCAAGTTCTAACCCATTCAGGAAAGAAGGACGGTACTCAACTATAGGTTCTTCATTAAGAATTTCTTTAGCTATCTGAATACATTTATTCTGAAATTTACGATTTTTCTT